CACTCAAACAAAACCCCATGGTATATGGCCAACAGGCGGTAGGATGCAACACTCAAACAAAACCCCATGGTATATGGCCAACAGCCGGTAGGATGCAACACTCAAACAAAACCCCATGGTATATGGCCAACAGGCGGTAGGATGCAACACTCAAACAAAACCCCCTGGTATATGGCCAACAGGCGGTAGGATGCAACACTCAAACAAAACCCCCTGGTATATTGCCAACAGGCGGTAGGATGCAGCACTCAAACAAAACCCCCTGGTATATTGCCAACAGGCGGTAGGATGCAACACTCAAACAAAACCCCCTGGTATATTGCCAACAGGCGGTAGGATGCAACACTCAAACAAAACCCCCTGATCATGAAACCTGTTGTCCCATCTTTGTTGCAACTAGTAGCATGTGGCATCTCAGAAATCTCTGGACTTTTATGGCAAAAGGCCTACTGTGATGAGGATCTCAGAAACTAATCCACAGTTTGAACGAACCTTAAAAAGAATAACTGTTCGGTTTTTGTTTTTATTAGCGTGTGTTGTTTATTCGGTTGGCACTATACTATCTTTTTAAAAAAAGTCAGGAAGCAGTGTCTTGACAAGAACAACAAAATAAAAACATGTCGGGGAACATTTTAAAATGTGTAGAAAAAAAAATAATGATCAGAAAAAGTGCTTAATCAAATTGTCTTTAATAAGTAAAAATGATTTTAAAAGATTAACTGATGCTTACAAAAAAAAGTAAGTGTACAATTTAAATACCTTTCACTATAACAATTATTTTTTTCTCCAGATATGTGAGGTACCATGACAACATTGAAAATAGAACATTCTACTCTTTGCAACATCTGAAGAAGGTAAACATAATAAATATAGTAAATAACAGTCACTGCAGTACAATGATAAAATAGATACTTATTCCCTGGCTATATGTTTCATATAGTTATACAATTTGAGAATACATTAAGTTAATCATATTTTTTGGTGATGGGTTACTCACTACGTGTCTATAGGACTTTGCCCTTTCCTCCTTTACACAGGAGGCAGGTTCAAAATAACATTCCCAAATGATGCTTAAAATTTTTTAAAAATAAATACATGCTGTAAACACGACAGTTTGAAATATTTGTAAAATAATAGGATTGCAGGAAACCTTTTGTTATTTTTGTGTTGGTAAAGTTTGCCAGATTATTTTGTGACCACAAAGATCTTTCTTTTTTTAACTGTATTGTTTGATTGGGTGTACAATAAGATATAATTAAAAAATAAAAATTTAACAGCAGTTTTCAAATATCGTGTTATAAATACTGGTGAGTCTTAAAAAATATGGTTTAAAAGTGCGTCAGCAGATCACGATGCAAATGAATTTACATAAAAGTTATGAAAGCTTTTGTGGAAGTTTAACCACAAAGAATGGGGCCTGTAATGTAACCCATGTAAAATAAAAGACCTATTCAATAAAATAATTTTTTGCTTGTAGGCTTCCCCTCACTGAAAAAGATGATTTATGTTTTTAAATCCTCAAATGATGTCATGGAATTTTAAGAAATTAGTTGACTGCAAACAAGCAGAGGTTGAAAACCTCCCTTGATGAAAATGGACATTTTATTTAGGTGTCATTTTGATTTCTAAAGGAACTCTGTAAACAAATGAAAATCAACCAAATATTAGTTTATGACATAATATGTAACAATTGGGAAAAAATCTCCTATTGACCTGGAACACAGGAATATGGCATAATAAATAAATGGAATGTTGTGAAAAGTTTACACGCCTACAATGCTTTAAATAAAAGAAAAACATCACTATGCAATTATATTATTCGAGAACTAGGTATGTATCTACCTCACCATTTAGGTTTATGGCCCTTACTTTTGGAGTTACCTGCTTCAAGTATGACCCTCTTACAATCCCTTGCAAGTACTTGTTTAAAATGTTCCTGTAAACAACTACTACATCAGAGATTCAAGTTTTTAATTAACAAACACTGCGCACCTTCTGAATAAACTCAAAGTGGACAAAATGTTTATTTCTGTATTTTTTAAAAAATATGATTTTACATCAATAAAAATTTTAAGAGATTTCATATTATTATTTAAAAACATATTTTCCCTTTTGCCCTTTCATTAGCCTAGATTATTGAATTTTAAAATCCAATTATTGTTGGGTGGGGTTGGAGGGGGGGGGGGGGGGGGGGGGGGGGGGTGTATATATTTAAATTGTATGCAAAAGTATTAGTCTTTTTCTACACTAGCATCAGTGAACAAGAAAATAAGTATAATTATTTATTTCTAGCCCCATGTAACTGAAGTAGATTTAAGCCCAGTAAATGTGTGAGTCTTTAAAAGTCCTGCTTAATGTAATAAATTAGATAATGTGCCTTTGCTAATTATGATGCCTAAAAAGAAGTCACAACAGATTTAACAAGAAATACCATTTACATGAGCAAACCTAATTAAAAATCATGTCCATATTAAAAGATCATCACAAGAAAAAAATAAGCTTAAGTTCTCCATATCCCAGACAAAGAATACTTTTCGACACTTTTTAAATTTAAACAGCCTGATGTAGTTGTTATACATGTAATAGTTTTATTTGTTGAATAAATCCAGCAAGGTTCATTTAGAGAAGAACAAATAGATCCTATGTAATAAATATAATAAGAACTAACACAATAGTGATATGGTAGAAACGTGCCGATTCCAATAACATCAAAAAAGATATAGCGAGTTCAGTCAAAGATACTATATAAAAAAAAAAGAGAAAAACTTAATATTTATGGTTGGGAAAAGGTATCTATTGCACGCGTTAGGAAAAGGTAATTTGATGGCAAATTAAAAAATTTAATAAAAAATTAGATCATCAATAAAAAAAAATAATAAGAACTAACACAATAGTGATATGGTAGAAACGTGCCAATTCCAATAACAACAAAAAAGATATAGCGAGTTCAGTCAAAGATACTATATAAAAAAAAAAAAGAAAAACTTAATATTTATGGTTGGGAAAAGGTATCTATTGCACGCGTTAGGAAAAGGTAATTTGATGGCAAATTAAAAAATTTAATAAAAAATTAGATCATCAATACTTCTTTTTAAAAATAGAGTAGAGCATAAAATCTTAATAAAAAATCGTTGCATAAATTTGATTGATTTGTGTTTTGTTTTTTTTTAAGACAATCTTTCCCTACATTTTTAGAGCCCATAATGGTACTTGTGGTTTAGAAATGTTAGGATCGGGTTACAAATAATTGTTCTTTGTTGTTGAGACAGCAATAGATTACTTCCTTCAAATTTCTAAGAACAGCAAATCACTAACATGTGTTTCAATGAGAAAAATAAAACATTTTCATGCAATTTTGGGGGAAAACGTGTTTTAAAAGTTTGTTTTGATAAATATTATTTGTAAAGATTATATTTTTAATCAAACGAACAACAGATACAAAAAAAATCACCATTTGTTCAGGGAATGGTGAAAAGCTTTCAACAAATTTACAACTGTGTTTTCAATATTGCATCGCTGAGATTACAACAAAATTTTAGTAATCAAGGCAGTAATAATAGCTGATTGAATAAAATACATACTTTAAATCTTCGAGATGCAGCAGCACATTAAAAATTAATTAACTTTGGACATTATTTTTTTTTTCTAATTTAAGGTCTAATGAAAAAATATAACTTTTCCTGAATTAACTTTAACAAAAAAAATTGCAGAGTTTATTAAAAAATCATATCTGGTCTCCTTCATGGTGATGCTTGTGACCACTAATAGTTGTTTTGGCTAATATGCTGATAATGATACATCTGACAATTGATTTATAAGGGACCTTCCTTATAAATATTGGAAAAGTGACCTGTAACTCATGATTATTAAAATATATATTTAAAGCAAAATACAAAATAAATATTTGTGGCTGATCAATATAGCCAGCCCATTTAACATCTTTCAGTTTGCTTAGTAGTTGGAAACCTAATCCATTAAACACAACATAAGTCATCTAAAAGGCTGTTATGTACCAATGATTTCTGGAAAGCAAAGACACTGTAAAATACGTGATGAAAACGAAAATATTTTTTTTTTTTTAAATTTTGGAATACTGATTGTGGTTTATTGGATTGTTTTAGCATCAAACTAAATTTAGAAACAAGCAAATATTGTGATTAATACTTTGGGGTAAAATCAATCAACCCTGTAACAAATCTATAAGAAGCTTTCAATAAAATAATGGCTCTTGTGTTAACAGGGCAATGGCACCTTTTTGGCACAGATAATACACAGATGAAATGTTTTTGCAGCAATTTTTTGCTCCATTTGACACCATTTCCTTCAGCAGGTCACATCCATGTTTTTCTATCTGCACTAGAAACTTATTTAAAATATTTCTGATAAGAGATTTGTTGGACGATGTCATTATGTCTTGAAAATATCAGGCACCAGTAACTAACTTGTCATATAATCAAGTTTTTCATTTTTTGTTTGTTGGCATAACTGATTTTGCCTTGAGCAGGGCTAAATTGGCAGATGGATATAAATGTTATTTTCTAGATATAACGTGTGGATAAAAATTGTAATAAAAGATGAAAAGAGGACATTATCAAAATATTTTTGTACATCAAAAACAATTGCCCACACACCTGGAATCGAGTTCATTTGTTTTTCTCAAATAACATGTACATTATAAATATATATTGAACAAGGATTGTATCACAAAGTTGAATATAAAAAAAAAGATTCAATTATTCAATGTAAAAGAGAGACAAAAACCTTTCGTAGCAACCCTCAGAGTAAGATATTTTAGTTTCAAAGTGGACCTGAATCCACTGAATGGATAAGAAATTGAACTCAAATCAAAAGACCCCGAAAAGTACATAAATGCACACATCTAAAAAAAATTCATAGACCCTCTTTGAAAAATAAATGAAACATGCTGAGATATCACAAACCATCTTGGCTAAACTCCTTCAATGTAGTCTGTTGTTGCCAAGTTTACTCGAGAATATTTTGAAGCAGCCCGGTAGGTTGCCAATGTCCCAAAAGCAGACAATCCAATCATGAGTGGAAACATGCCTGACCAGCCAGTGTAAGCAGTGACTAAGCCAATGATTGGTCCTTCTATGCAGGTACCTATGCTGCCAAAACCTAGGGCAAAAATAAAAATTTTATAATATTTAAAAGAGTCCAAGGTAGAAATATTCAATATTGAAAAAATTCAATTTTCTTTTTTTTTTCTTCTAAATTGTATCTGCCAACGGAAATCAAGAGCTGAAGATTAGACGTTTTAGAAAACCTTTCTTGACAAAAGGGAGTAATTAAATATATTCTTCAAAAAAGCACATATTTCTATCAATATATTTTAACTGTGAAGCACATAGTCCTAGTTCTATCAATATATTTTAACTGTGAAGGACAAATTTCTAGTTATATCAATATATTTTAACTGTCAATTACATAATTTTATCAATATATTGCAACTGTGAATCACATAGTTCTATAATATACTGTTTCTGTGTACTATTGCTTACAGTATTGTTAAAAGACATTAAAGGCCAATAATCAAATTAAAAAAAGGGTAGGTGTATCAAAAGTATTATTTAATTAATACTGAAGGATATTTCTTTTTTAAAATTTGTAAATGTTCAAAGTAAGATAGTAAGTTCTGAATACATAGTTTGAAATATAAAAATCACTCTCATCTTTCTGTCAAATTGATCAATGTTATTAGTTAAACCTCAGAGAGTTGAATAACATACCATTCACAAGCCCAATGGTTGCAGTGGCAGCATTCTTGTTGTGTTTCTCTACAAGATCAGCAGGCACTGTGCCACCTGGGGAAAAATAAATGAAAAATTGCACTATTTTATGACCCAGTGCACACAAAAACCCTGAAAAAAAATAGTATTCCACATGGCATTAATTCTGAAAGTACTATTTTGTTTAATTTAAAGACTAAAATTTATTTTGAAAAAGTGATGAGAAATGTTACAAGTGAAGGCACTACTATTTTATTTGTAGAAAAAAAAAAGATAATTCTTTTTTTAAAGGTATGAGTCTCAAAATGATTAAACAACATAAGTTACAATTTGTATATATAAAGGGAAAAGTATTTGGTCTGGTTATGGCAACATTGGATTTTTTTTTTACTCATGGTACTCACATAATAGAATATCTGGTCCAGCATTGAAAGCGCCAGCAATGAACATGAAAAGCGAGTTGACAAAGACACCCCAAGAACTGGTCAAGACAAACATGACCAGTGATAAGGTAGAGATCAGTACAAACAAGCCAATGCCCCTCAGAGTCTGTCCTTTGTAATAACTACAACACAAAACATGCATGGAAAATGATTGTAAGAACTGGAAAAAGTTAACACTGTTCAGGTAATTTATACTGAAATGGGATGATAATTTTGCTGAGTCTCTTTAATTGTAAATGTTTCATATTTCTAGATTAGATACAAGTTTTGAAAACTATCCTTCAATTATTGCGCAAGGTAGTAAAGTGATTATCATTAAAATGATGGATAAGATTATCTGGCTGAGTGCAGTCTTTTCAGTTCTTCTTCCAAAGCATTGATATTTTAGAGTTACTTAAAAACCCAATTCTCCAAATGCTCGCGAGCTTGCAAGTGAATGGTGCATACCTAAAGCCAAGTTAGATTTTTTTAAATCATTTATTTATTTTATAACAACAATTAATAACATAACAACACTGGCTCACAGTGAAGTAGATGTGAAATACATACCGGTCAAGAGCAAATCCTATAAGTGCACTTCCAGTCACACCACCAACCTCAAATACCGTCGAAAAGATGCCAGCCATGCTCTTGGAATAGTTCAACTGAAAAATTTGACATTTTTTAAAAGCAGGCAATGCATTGGTCATTATCAAGAACATTTTCCTTTTTTTTTTCTGGAGTCACTAATGATGGGTAGTAATAAACTGAATCTCTTGTTAAAAGTGAAAATATTATGATATATGTACAATAATGTCTAAAAAATGTCAGTCACTGCTGTCCAAATATACCTGTCTTATCTTCATTTAAACAATTTTCTAGTCTAGTAATTTTTGTTAATTATCCAAATCTTTCTGCTGTAAAAAAATGAATGCATAAAATAAATGTACTCATATAATGACCATTCCAGTCACACAATCACAACATATCAATAATGGGATGAAACAGTGTTTCAAGGTTTGCAGCAGTTTATTTAAACAGTATAATTATCTGAGGCTGATATTTATGTAAAACTAAACAAATAATTGTTTATTTATTTATTATTTAAAATGGATAAGCCTGATACTTACAGCCTGAAGCAGGTACATAGGCAGCCACATATACATACAGTAGCGAACAACTTTGAGGCAAAACACAGCCACAGACACTTCAGCGATCATTCTAAAAGAACACATTCAAAGGACACAATTATGTTTATCAAAACAATTAAAATACCACACAGTTATTTGATAAGGACTTGTAAAATTTTATTTCATAATCAGGAAGTCAGTATTTTTAAAACCGTTTATAACCCCTGTGATCATGGGGTATATAAAATGATCTTGTCTGTACAGAAATGTTAGAAGTATGAGTAAATTAATCAGCTGGCAAGTATGTGATGGTATGTGAAAAATCCTTCAATATTATTTGATCCTTGAGATACTCTTAATAACATAATTATTATAGTTAACAACTCCATTAACCTGCAATAGTTATAACATTATTTAATGTTGGCAACAACTTTCATCATTTTTTAAAAAATGAAACACCAAAATGCTCTGCATATTTTTTTTTTCTCCAGTTTTATCTCCTACATTATTTTGGCTGCAACTACAACAAACTCTCCTGGTACATCAACTCACGGGAGTCTCCATAAATCCATCATTTTTGGCTGTTCCACCAGAGCTCCTGTCTTTTCTCCCTCTTTGGCTTTGTCCACACCTGGGCCAAACATAGAATCAGTTCACCAAGTTTTTCAACAAGGATAACAAATCATTTAATTATCTCATGAATCACAAAATATTACTGTTTTTTTTCCTTTCCTCTCCTGAATATTGTTGCCGAGTATGTCTTGCTAAAAGCTCAAATGTTTTATGATGTGAAGAAATGGATTGACTAGAATTTTTATCTATTCTATTAAAAAAATTAAGACATTGTTGGGGGGATTAAAGTAAAGATATTAAATTGCACATGGGTAATATCTTTGCAGCCTTCTTCACAATGTACACAGGTTAAAATAACTGCATGTGTAGTAAACTGCCCCATTTGCAACTTTAATCTACAAAGGCACAAGCCATGTTTAGGTGGGTTTATTTTTAATCTACCTCTTCCTGGAACTTCAATACCAAGTTCATCGGGTTGTTTGAACAGTATCAACACCAACAGCCCCATGATGAACTATAAGGTTATGAAATAGAACATGGTAAGATTTTTTTTTTGTAAAAGGATAGAAGAAAAGAAAAAAACAAAATAAAAATATTTTAAAAGAATATGAAATTTGTAATGTAAATGGACAAAAAAAGGACTCAATTCTTTTAAAAAAATAACTATTTAAATCGTGTTTACGTTCAGATGACTAATTTGAATATTTTCTGTAACATAAAAATTGTAACCAAAAATGGGATTACCACAAAAATTGATGGATAAAAATATACTGAGCGCCAGCCATATGTTGCTTGGAGGTAGACCTGTAATTTTTAAAAAAATACTATTTAAGCACGTATTTATTGTTTCAGGCATAATTTTTTTTTTTTTCTAATTTAAGGTATAAATATAATATTTTATACGGAAATCCCTGCAAAAGAATATTGGCAGTAAATTTAAGAAACCGGTACAAATATCATAAAATTGTAAAACTTATTTCGCACTTGTAAGATTGTAGCATTTTTATAGTAGAAACACTCCAAAGAACTGCAATATGGTTACTATTACTAAGCTACAAGGAGACATTTAATTAAATTTGTATGCTTTTGTTACAAGTTACTGTATCCCAAAAAGACTGAAACTAATTGAGACTTAAACCAATAATATTTCAATGACGAAATGAACATTGCATTAAACCAGCCCACTTGATTTTTTTTAAATGTCAAGTGAGACGATCCCCTCAATTCTGATAATTTTAGAACTTACAGAGAACATGGTTCCAATAATTCCTCCAGCAAATGCACAAGTCCCAAACATACCAAACATGGAATTTCTCACAGAGTCTGAGAACCAGCACAAAAGTCCTTTAGTACAGTTGGGCCAACACTGAGACTAGATGTGGTCCACAAAAAAAATAGATAACAGATTTGTACATTTAATAATGATGTGATTTAATCAAGTTGAAGTCACATACTGTAATTAGAATTGAACTATATAGCTTGTGTAGCTTTTTGAATAAATCCTTTCCTCCCTCAATGGTTTAATTCCGCAGGGACTGATTTAAACACAAAATGGCCCAATTCGGCCGCTGTTGAGATGTTGCTATTTAGAAAGCAGACGTGTCCCTAATCAAATGAGGCGAGGCCTTGGGAGAATACTGCCTAATATTTTGGATTTATTACTTTAGTTGAAGTTAAATTTTTTTTATGGTAATGATCATTTTTAGAAGTCCACTTTGTCACAGTTTGACATTTAAGTATTAACAAAATAAAACTATACGGAAATAATGAACGGTAATATGACATGTTAAGCAAGAAGTTGGGAATACTCTGCACTAAATTCATGTTATTATAGCAGAATATAGATTTGTTTTAATTTTTCTCCTCAACCTGTCATTTTAACAGGAGAAAATTTTCGAGTAGTTATTATTAATGAAGTCCAATAATTAGCCCTCTGTTAAAGAAAATGTTAGTGTAAGGTTATTCCATTTACTCACACTGTATAAGAATGTGGAGATTTAAACCTTTATAGCATCATTACAAAGTGAAATACCCACCTGAGCTGTTCCATTCAAGAACAGAAGAAGAAACCATATCATGAAATTGGAGAAATAACCAAATGAAATCTGAAAGATTACAAATATCATGTATTAAGAAAAACTACTGCATATTACTGTGTATAACATAATCCATGTATAATGTGAACATTTAATTAATTTTTTTTAAAAGCCATAAAATTCAGTGTCCTTCTATAATGCAATCTCTTATTAATCTTGTTCCATAATAATACACTATGTATGAACGAAATAAATATTTCTTTATGAGCAAACTGGCAAAATGTGTTAAATTAATAAAATATATGAACTGTGGTCACATTGAAATGACTATGCTGATATCCTGTCAAAGGGGCTTCTTGCATTACTGGTCTTATGCACGTGGGCAAAGAAGATTTGGTTGTATAAGCATTAGCATCGTTTAAGGGTATTGAGAAATTTCTTACATGCCCTTATAAAGTGAAATCCTAGCTTTAAGTTGCATTTTTGACTCTAAATTGCTCCCTTTATACACAGTAATATATATTATTTATTATGGTAAGTCTCATCACAATAACCAAGCTGCGGTCAGACAAATTTTAAATAATAAAAATTTGGATTTACATAAGAATATCCTTTTTACCAAATGCAGCAGTGTAAAGACATGCATTTGTTTAGTTGATAAGAAATTAAACAGCTCAGAGTATTGCCACTTACCATGGACAATGCAGACAACATCATGCACACTCCAAAAGTTTTACGAGCACCAAACCTGTCTCCTAGTGGTCCCAAAATTATCTGAAAAATGAATATGTATTTAAAATGTATACAAATCTATAAGTATGTTTGAATAGATAATTTTTAAAACTATGAGCAATTAAAAATGAACCCACTACCTATTATATAATAATATTACATTTAAAAATGAACAATTACAAGATAAAATATTCAGTTATTACCACATTTACCTAATACTTCCTATTAATATAGCTTGCACTTTTCAACAAATTTAAACCAAAAAGAAAGATTACATCAGGACAATAACTTTTAAGGTGCATGTTTATCATTGGTTATTGGTTGCTTGTGGCAGATTCTGAACTCATTGTTAATGTATGCTTAGCCAAGCTAAATTTAACACTGCAATAGTAACCCAAAATGATATCAGCTATTTGGAAATGCACCTTTTTAGAAGTTTCCTAAAGAGGAATATTTTTAATGTTTAAATTGTGAAGACGTTTTAGGGATGATTTAAAAAATTTAATATTCAAGTGTTGACAAAAATGATGTTGACAAAATAGTCTAAGAGTTTAAATTAACTTACTTGCATAAAGGCATATGGAAAAAGGAGAGCAGTGTCCAGCCAACCAAGCTGTGCATTAGTCAAACTCATAAATGACTGCAGGTCTGCTTTTATCTGAAAAAGAAACCCAGTGTACTCAATATAAATTGCAATCTTCTTCATTGCCCCCTTTACAATAAAGATATTTCTTAAAGTGTACACACTGATTAGAAACTTAATAATCCAAGAGAATATATGATTTAAAAAAATTAAATTTCAAAATACAGTATCTTCCAATTCACTTTTAAGGAGAAATTAAAATACTTACCACACCCAAGGGTTTTCGTAGAAAGTATGTAGCTGCATAGGCAACCCATCCTAATGCAAATGCTATACATTGCCTGAGTCTCAGAGGATCCATTACAATTTTGGTTTGGAATTGTCAATAATAAGGCACTTTCCGATAGATTTATTTTGGTATTATAGGCCAAAATTTTCTTCTTGTTAGAGGTTCCACTTTATAATGGCACCTGTAAAAAGCATTTCAGTGGGAAAAAATATTAAGATTTCCTATAAGATATTTTTCATTTCAAAGTCAATGAAAAAACTTTTTTTTTACAAATGGACAGATATTTTAAAAAATTGGGACCACAAATTCACTAAACACAAGTTGATTTAGTCCAATAAATTGCGGCAGATATCAAGGAAAGAAGAGCTGTTGCTATTTGTACTAAAAATATTTGGAATTCTATCAAAAGGTTAAAACACTGTTGTGAAAAGCTTATTTGAATTACATTTTTTTATAAGCAATAAATAGAAGGTAAATGATTTAAGAGTTCTCAGTCTTATTAATTGTTATTAATGCCTTTAGCGTTGTGTCATACATTTTTAGAATGTTTCCTAATATTTGAAATATGGTACTGCTTATTTTATATTATTACTAGACTAGCAATAATTAGTCTGCAAACAAAATTTTGTAATAAGTAAAAAATTATGTGACCTATTATTGGCTGCTACAAGGCTGGTAGCCGGACACTTTCTCATAAAAAGTTTCCAATTTTTAATTTGGGACCGGTGTTCTGAGGATTTTTTTCTATAATTTAAATTTAAATTTTAACTCTTTCAGTGCCAATCCACATTATACTGGCGATTGGACTGGTCGTGTTTGTGCGAAGGATAACTCATGCCCTACTTCTAACAGAAAGGAAGTAGTAAGTTTACACATGTTTTTTCTAATAATAGTTCAATTTGTGTTGAATCTTTTGTAAACAAAGCAATGGCCACACCCACTCCAAGCATGTCAGCTGTTCCAAGACCACGTAGGAAGTCAATTTTGCAAACAAAAGAACTTTTATTATGGCTAATTATTGATGCTGAAACAACAGACAATAACCATGAATCATTTGAATCTGATTCCAGATGATGATTTTCAGCATTTAGATGGGTCAGTAAATGCCAAATGGAAATAGTAAAAGAATGGCGATAGTTGATACTTTCATAAAAATTTCAAAACATTTTTTTAAATATAAAAATATCACGGATGTATAGAGCCTAGGTAATGGATTAAAAAACACCCAGATCAACTTTCTAGCTCAAGTGGTTCAAAAGTTATGAATTTTTTTCAAAACCACTTTGTTACTATGGCGACAGTGAGGAATCAGATAAGAATACTCCTAACGTTTCAAAAATGGGTATAACTCTTTAACAAAATGGGATATTTTCAAAATGTAAAATGCATTATGATCAAAAATGGATATACTATTTGAGGATTGAAGCAGAATAGGATATCAGCTACACAGACCGTATGGTAGTCTGGTAAGTTCAGATTTGGGCCGCAATTTTAAAAATATAAAAAATTTGATCTCAAAATATTATCCAAAAAAAAAAAAACTTTTGTTGTTATATTGCTTTATCTTTTACTTACAATTAAATATTATTATTCTCTGTCTAATTTCCTTTAATTTGATATCTTGCTAAAAGAAATGTATTCAAAATTAATTAATAGATAGGAGCACCCTCAAAAATTTCCATTGGCCGAATACTGGTCTGGCACAAACGTGGAAAACCCCCTGGCATGGAAAGAGTTAATAAGTGTTGATGGGTGAGCCTGATGAGGGGGATGACAAGGTCTTGGCCTGCCCAGGGTGGAACTAGCCCTAGCACTACATAGAAAAATATTCAAGGAAAAGTTTCCTGAGATATCTTGCTTGTGTATTATAAACTGTATATATTACTATATATTATATATTCGTTATCATTCATACTTCCAAATGAATGAAATTATTTAAATTCAATCAGGATCAGGACACTTCGTTTTTTTGTTTTTTTTATCACTTTAACATGGACATGACAGTTTACTTATTACTTCATTGACTTTTATTTAAATAAACACTACTTAAGACTTAATATTATGTCAAGGTCAGTATGTCTTAAAATAGGTTAGTTAGATCATCCGCTTATTTGGCTAGGTATCATCAACGTGAAAAGTTTGAAACGCACTTTTCTAGTATGAGTGTCTGCAGATTGTAAGTATGAAGTCAATTAAATCAGTCTAAATATAAAACAAGAACTCTCGATGCCGGCATATTTGTTGGCTTGTCCTTGTTTACTTCCGGCAACTTTGCACAATACGGGTCCGTAAATATTTTTTATTTGCGGAACCCTTTTTTTTTTTTTTTTTTTTTTTTTTTGGTCTCTTTTTTTATTTTTTTTTTTTTTTTTTTTTTTTTGATGTGGGGGGGGGGGGGGGTATGATTTTTTTTTTTTTTTTTTGAAAATTTTAAATTTTTATTTTTTTTTTTTTTTTTTTTTTTTTTTTTTTTTTTTTTTTTGATTGGTTTTTTTTTTTACATTTTTTTTTTTTTTCGTTTTATTGAAGTTGGGGAGGGGGGGGGTATGAATTTTTTTCTTTTATTTTGAAAATTTTAAACTTTTTAAATAGAGATAGTTCTTGAAAATAAAATTCTGTGCTTTTTCTGAGTAGCCTACTGCCAAATCTTAGTTCACTTAGTTCAAATAAAACGTCAATGGCTATACATCCATTCTATATCTTTCAATTATCGTACATTGAGCATTTAAAATATTATTATTTGTTTATATTAACATTTCACAAGGAACCCGTGCCATGTCAAGCAAAGGCTGAGACCGGAACAGAGGCGTAGCGAGGGGGGCGGGGCATGGGGGGACAGATGTCCCCGGGCACAAGCTAGTTAGGGGCGCCAAAATGTGCTTTTATATTATATTATTAATTATTGGTAAAAATAATAGGTTTGAGAGTTGAAAAAAAGAAAAGGGGCGCTTTAAAATTGATCTTGTCCCCGGGCGCGACTCTTGTCCCCGGGCCCCAAACACCCTCGCTACGCCTCTGGACCGGAACATACTCAAGGCTATGAATCATAGCCTAGATTATGTCTAATTATTAATTCATTAATTTCTTCTACAACAAAAAGTGGAAAAGTGGTATTTATAGGCCTACTCACACATATGTTGATGATCATAAAATAAAATAAATTATAAATACATCCAAATCAAAAACAAAATTAAGTATGGCGATGGTAGGCCAATAACTGTATTCAGCGGTTCTCTGCCTGCGGGTCGCGACGCCTACTGGGGTCGAACGACCCTTTCACGTGGATCGCTTAAGACCATCTGGAAACACATATTTATGAAGTAGCAACGCCACGAAAATAATTTAATTGTTAGGGGTCACCACAACACGAGGAACTGTATTAAAGGGTCGCGGCATTAGGAAGGCTGGGAACCACTGGTGTAACTTAAAATAAATCCGCAGTATAACAATGTGAAAAACCAAAAAGAAATTGATTGATGATCAGGACGTAAAGTTATTTAATAACTGTACCATAACAACTTTAAGTTATACTTATTTTTACATTCAATTTACTTCATTTAAAATGATTCTTTCCTGGTCTTTAGTGTGATCTGATTTCTTTGTTTCGATACACACATTACGGTTAAGCTGTTACTGTTACAATGACCCAAATTTAAGTAGTCTAAAAATTTTCACGAATTTTTAAAAGAAGAAATCCATCGCGGAAGTCGATGGAAAAGGGGTGACACTATGAGTTTACCGCACCAGGTGAAACCAACCCTAGCTACGCCTCTGCTTAAAAAAATTTAGGATTACTGATCTATATGATGTTATAGTTTATATGGTTCGTCCTTAACATATTTAAATCTTTGTTAAATCATATATATTAACTTCGCTTTAGTTTGTGGCTGGCTGACTGACTGGCTGGCTAGCTGACTGACTGGCTGGCTGGCTGGCTGACTGGCTGGCTGACTGACTGGCTGGCTGACTGACTGGCTGACTGGCTGACTGACTGACTGGCTGGCTGACTGACTGACTGGCTGGCTGACTGACTGACTGACTGGCTGACTGACTGACTGACTGACTGGCTGGATGAGTGGCAAAGTCTTCCGACAGCTTTTTTTTTTTTTTACGAGTTCCTACAATACCAAAATCTATATGGACTTTTTTTAGTCTTTCTGCAATACCAAAGTCTCTATGGACTTCAATGTTAGGTCTTCCAGAAAAACCACCAGAGTCTTTATGTACTTCTTTGTTATAGGTCTTCCTGCAATAACAAAGTCTCTATGGACTTCTATGTTAGATCTTCCTGCAATACCAGAGTTCCGAATAGAAACCAGGCTTTAAAACCAGTATTCTATATTTCCGATAACTGGTTGTAATATCCATTGGGATATCCCTAAAAATGGCTGATACATTTCATCCACAAAATATTGACCCATCTGTTTATAGTGAATAGTAACTGCAACAGTATAACTTTGTGTGTTCTATTTAATGTTGGGTGGAATCAATTGAGACACACAAATATCTTCGAAATAAACACACACAACAAAATTTCCAGGGAACTGATCCTTAGCACAAGCTGTGAATGTGGCTGTTTTTATTTATTTATTATTATTTTTTTTTGACAGAACCAGTCTAGTCACATCCATTGCGAGGCTGATATTGCTGCCATTCTCTGCTATACCGGAACGTTTAAATGCACGTATGTCCTCTGTGTGGAGCTCAAAGATCTACTCTACATTAGTAATATGACTTGGAATATGTTGGTCTACCTGAGATATAACTCAAAGTTTAAACAACAGTTTCACTCGTTGCCTAGGAATATATATATATATATATATATATATATATATATATATATATATATATATATATATATATATATATATAAGATATATAAAAAAAAGTATAAAAAAAAATTTCTCTCTATATATATATATATATATATATATATATATATATATATATATATATATATATATATATATATATATATATATATGTCTATAAAGTAATAAGGAATTAAGACTGATACCGGCAGTTTAAGAAAAATGTTTATTCAAGCAACAATAAATTGTTTGCTTTTCTCGAGGCATCTAAGACTAAACAAAAAAAAGCTAAATGCTAATATGAAACAGTCATTTTTGGCATCATTTAAAAATACGCTATTTTCAATTGGCCGTTGTTTGTAGACAACTTTTTATTTAATATTTACTCGGAAATGATACGCTGTAAAAAAAGTATGGAAATATAGTCTAGTATAATACCTGGTTTTTTTTTTAGGTGGGGTGGGGGGGGGGGCAAAATTTACAAGCTATTTTTCTTAAGATTAAAAAAAAATTATACAATATCTGGGTTTAGAAGTTTATAATTCATTTCTAATGCATTTACTTTAAAAAAATATGTTCGTTTTTTTGTGTTTTTTTTGTTTTGTTTATTTTGGTAGAGGAAAAGGAAAGGGGGGGGGAGGGGTTAAAATTTTAGTTATCCACTACGAGAAGATGTTTCGCCAATAGACTCCCAACAAGTTATAGTAAAACGTCAAACAAGCTAACATAACATGGTCTCAATAACAAACAAAAAGAATTCAAATAACTTCACTGGCACTCTGTGTACGATGTCCTCCCTCTGTGCCTACGTATCAGCAGGCCTGCAATAACTGCGAGGATCGTCGCAGACACTGCCCCTGCAACGATAGCAGCTATAACTCCAGGCGTGATTGTAGTAGTACAGCGGCCCCTTCATAGCTGCCGTTACCACAGTCCTTGTATCCGTTACATGTCAGATCTTCATCTATGCACAAGCTGTCTATCCCACAGTCAAATGTTCCTTTGGGGCATACTGATAAAACATAAAACAATTTTATTTTTTTTAAATACATGAATGTTTTTGTATTTAACTATTTACACAGAAAATGAGGACGCTGTTCCCAGGCAACCGTTTCGTCCCAGCTGTTTCGTGAATACGTTGCGAGGTAGAAACCCACTGTGGAAATCCCTATTAGAGGTCGTCTGACAGATGGGAGGGTGGAAGATTTTCGGACATAAATATAACATCCCGACTCCTGGGAAAATGTCTGCTGATCCTGTGGGCTGGGGTGACCTCCTGGGGTACCGGATCGAGTGGGTGCTGTCGGGGTCTGTCCTGACAAAGTGAAATCTCCAACTTGCCGCTTCGCAGTCCGATATCGGGCGGGGGGGGGGGCGGGTTGGGGAGGGCATAATGAGCTTGGTACAAAGCTCGACGGCTCGCTGACGCCATTTCCTAATGTTCTATTTCAGTATTTAACTACTATTTTATGGTGAATTTTCGTTCTGCGATTTACCATAGTCAATAATTGCTTATGATAACTAATGATAACGCTAAGAATAGTATTCTTAATTGACAACAACAAACGATTAGCAATGCATAAGATATATAAATTATTAAATTTATTAAATGGGCATATCTCAGCATAAATTAGGAAAAGGCGAAAAGATATTTGCGTTCTGTTTAGCATGAAAAAAAATTTAAAGTTTGACTTCCGTTTACAACGTTTAAATATAATGAGTGGAATTAATAACAATTTTAGTTCTTATAAAAAAAATTACACCACTAACATTGGACACTGAGTGTCAGTGGAAGTTATTTGAAATATGTGTTGTATTACCATTACCATTGAATACTACCAATAGAGTTTTTAATATTATAGAGAGCTTTTACACTAAAAAAAATGTTTCCTCAATGTCACGTTGACCTACCGTCTGTTTTGTAGAAAATCTCCGACACCAGCAGGTCCACGTCCGCTGTAAGTATGTGAATTCCGTTCCAGGTAGTGTAGCTCAAGGTTCCTAAATTCCCCAACATGTATTGATCTCCCGGTCTGCCTGACCCGCAGTAGCCACGGTCACCTATAATACAAAAGTCTTTTTCTAGAAGGCTCTTTTGACAATGAACTTCAACCCCACACGAGTCCGAGTCTCTGATTATTTCCGAGGACAATATGATTTAATTTTAAAGGTCTTAAGGGTAACCGCCAAATATCCAAAATAGCATCCAAATAAGAAGTTTAGTGACGATTGCTTCTTCAGCTTTTACCGGCCACTGTCAAAATTTCACGTCTAGTCACCGAGTGTTACATTGATATAAAGTGTGAAAATATGTGTCGAATTTGAAGTAAGTTCTCATATTATTACGCAAGACGCTCTTTTTGTTCAATGGACTCAACATATTTTATTTTTTTTAAAAGCAGAAGCTCGTTTAGGGAGAATACGTAACGAACCGCACAACGAAACAAATTATTATTATTTTATTTGAGAGATTTATTCTACGTTCCTTCATCACAAAAGGAAATAGAGCAAGAAAACCGTCCACGCGCCCCCCCCCCTTCCCAGCTGCATGGCATCACACCTTATATTAAAATAAACACCCAGTAAATGTTCGAAACAAATTATGTTTGTCTGTACTTAATAATTTTTTTTTCTTCTGGCATCCGTCCGTCACAATGTGACGATGGAGTGGGCTTCGTAGGATGAAATCCACATAGCCTGGGATTAAACTTCAAGGATTATAGGCTGGTTCCCAACAGCAAATCGCCTCTCTCCACGCCTCTGGGTAACCCAAGGGAACATCATTTGGATGATACAGCTTGGCACCAGTGACGTCGCAGGAGTTGCCGGAATGTTTCATTCTATCAATGTTCTCCGCCTTTCGGGACTCCAGCTCCGGGTTTGATTTCAGGGTTTCCTTCTCTTAGATCCAAGGTTAACGAGTCTCATCTACCCTGGGCTCTGGCTGGAATTGAACTCCAGACCACCAACTTGAGATTTGCTCAGTTTAGACCATTCGGCCACCCAGCACCCTTAATAATGCTCACCATGAAATGGCAAATAACAATAGAGAATGAGAATAAACGTATTTGATGTAATTGTATCTTCCTCTCAGATAGTTTTTTTTTTTTTTGTTGTTGATCCATTTGTTCGCAAGTTGAATAAAGAACGATAAACCTGGCATCCGCGGACAGCAATAGCTGACGTGGTAATAGAGGTGGTATCCCTGTATTAGGGATGGTAATCCCTGCACTAGAGCTGACCACCCCTGCTATAGAGGTGGTCACCCCTGCTATAGAGGTGGTCACCCCTGCAATCAGTGTTTCTTTCAGAAATTTTCCCCCCGGGGAGCACTTCATATTTTCGGGGNTTGTTGCACAAATTTTTCCTCCGGGGGGCCACTTGACTTTCCCAGTGAGGGGGGCACTGCCCCCCCCCCCCGGAGATATAGCTGAAAGAAACCCTGCCTGCAATAGATGTGGTCACCCCTGCAATGGAACTGGCTGCTCCTGCAATGGAGCTGGTCACCCCGGCAATAGAGATGAGAGTATAGACCACCCCATGTTCACTTACCAAAGTAGTCTCCCCCTGGCCATGTAAGCTGTACAGCCTCCACCTGACATTCATCTATACTGTTCCTGTACTTCGGATCGATGCTGAACTTGCGGAAGTTAGCCACAAGTGCCGTCCCTTTGTCTGGCTTGAGCGTCAGGGCGCAAAATGTGTTACTGGGCAGGTACGTTTTCTCTGAGATTGCAAGTCTGACGTCACCGTTAACAGTTACGGTTTTCCCGCACAACTGATCCAGATGTACTAAAAGAATTTACAACTGATCCAGATGTTCTAAAATAATTTACAACTGATATAGATGTACTAAAAGAATTTACAACTGATCCAGATGTTCTAAAAGAATTTACAACTGATATAGATGTACTAAAAGAATTTACAACTGATCCAGATGTACTAACATAATTTACAACTGATCCAGATGTACTAAAAGAATTTACAACTGATCCAGATGTACTAAAAGAATTTAGCAGTGAAGAAACATTTCCCATTAAAATTGTAAGGTATTTTTTTCTAAATACGTCATTGTTTAAAAATAATAATTATGTATCAGTGTTATAGATCTTATTTAATAAAGTCTAAGTTATATGATAACCTAGTTTTTGTTATGAAATTAGAAAGTCTTGACCTTGTTGTAAAATGTGTTTAAATGTAAGTTTGACTTATCATTGAGTGATCCAGTACAAAGAGACAGAGGGGCGCCAAAAGTTAGAATCTGACACATAAAATGGCGCCGTGGCGCAAAAATGACGTTACGTAAACCACAAATCAGAATGGCATCGCAATGACAGTATCTTCTGATTTGCGGAAGGTACAAAACAGATAATTTGCGCCCAAAAAATGGCACCAAGCAATTTTTAAAAATGCACCTTTACGTTAACATACCTAACTTGTATCAAAGACACAAATGTGCGAAACGTTAAATAGACTGACAAGCCTAATGTGATTGTATGGCTATTACCTTAATGACACACATCTCTATTAAAGCCACCGATGTAATTTGTTTTAGATGATATTGTATCGCCATCCTTTAAATGAGTCTAGATATATAAATAACATTCATTAAGTGTTTTACTCGTATAATTATTTCCGTAATTGTTCTAGATATAATACATTTATTATGTATAGAGTTGTTCTCTTTCAATCGATATCCTAAATAACATCCTTAAAAAAAATACAAATCGCAACATCAAGAGGTAATATAAAATATTATTAGAGAACTATACTGTAACATACTACTTACAAACAGTTGGGTAGAGTGTAGCTGTACAAACATAGGAGTATAGCACTGAAGCAATTATCGCGTCTCGTATTATGCGCATCGCATTGTTTGACGTCATCACGGCAAAATTCAGCTGTACTTAAATAATGGAATGCGATCAGTAGAGGTGTCATAAGCTACACGTAAGACAACTACACGACATACGCTTTATCTACACATTGTAACATAGCACATTTGATACTTTTCAATACTTTCGTAATCATGAGACATATTAATGGAATCGTTTTTTCATGTGTGTGATATAAATAATTATTTTTTAATTTAAAAAGAAAACACACAAACATATTTACAACCTGGCCACGTTAAAAGTAAATATTATGTTATCTCAGCAACACATCACAGTAAATAAAGCTAAATTGATAATTTATTTATAGGCTAGATATAGCATATCAGTGAAAAGATTTGAAGCACACAGATTGACGTGCAACATATTTTAATAGGTTTATTTTTTCCTTGTCATTTAGCATCTTCAACTTGCCCGACTTCATCAGCACATCAGATGTAAGCATCGTAGAAAGAAAACCTCGAGGTTGTCCATTAATTTATAATGCATGTGTAAAATGCGTTAATTAATTTGTCTCCTCCTACAACATTGAACAAACAAAACTCGACTCTCTAGGCAATAATTGTGCAGTAAAAATTGTTGGATGGCAAAGCCAAAGTTTCACATATATATGTAACATAGTTACATTTCTGAATTAAATATGGCTAAAATGAACTTTAAAATAATGTTTAATAAAAAAAAACATTAAAAAGATGTAGATTTTTTAGAACTGTGTCTAGTTTTTATTTCCACATTGGATTAATGAAAAATACTAGGTTTTTTTAATACATGTCTTCATTATATGCATTTTTTTAAAAATTGCTTTAAAAACTTTCAATTCACAATCTTTAATTTACATATAATTTCGATCACAAGGTCACTAAATGATAACATCATACATTATTAATGCAAGGAAACACCTTATGTAACCGTGGAATGAATGAAAAGAGTTTTTTCACCAAAGTAACCTTGGTGTAAACCAACAGAGAGTTTCACCAAAGTAACCTTGGTGTAAACCAACAGAGAGTTTCACCAAAGTAACCTTGGTGTAAACGAACAGAGAGTTTCATCAAAGTAACCTTGGTGTAAACGAACAGAGAGTTTCATCAAAGAAACCTTGGTGTAAACGAACAGAGAGTTTTACCAAAGTAACCTTGGTGTAAACGAACAGAGAGTTTCATCAAAGTAACCTTTGGTGTAAACCAACAGAGAGTTTCATCAAAGTAACCTTGGTGTAAACGAACAGAGAGTTTCACCAAAGTAACCTTGGTGTAAACGAACAGAGAGTTTCATCAAAGTAACCTTTGGTGTAAACCAACAGAGAGTTTCATCAAAATAACCTTTGGTGTAAACCAACAGAGAGTTTCATCAAAGTAACCTTGGTGTAAACGAACAGAGAGTTTCATCAAAGTAACCTTGGTGTAAACCAACAGAGAGTTTCATCAAAGTAACCTTTGGTGTAAACCAACAGAGAGTTTCATCAAAGTAACTTTGGTGTAAACCAACAGAGAGTTTCGTCAAAGTAACTTTGGTGTAAACGAACAGAGAGTTTCATCAAAGTAACCTTGGTGTAAACGAACAGAGAGTTTCATCAAAGTAACCTTGGTGTAAACGAACAGAGAGTTTCACCAAAGTAACCTTGGTGTAAACCAACAGAGAGTTTCGTCAAAGTAACTTTGGTGTAAACGAACAGAGAGTTTCATCAAAGTAACCTTGGTGTAAACGAACAGAGAGTTTCATCAAAGTAACCTTGGTGTAAACCAACAGAGAGTTTCACCAAAGTAACCTTGGTGTAAACGAACAGAGAGTTTCATCAAAGTAACCTTGGTATAAATTCACACACATTCCTACACAGAGTCAAATACACACAACGTACACATACACATCACCCACATACGTACACACACAAACACGCGTAAGTACACACACAAATACTTACACGCATACGTACACTCACAAGCACACAAAAACAAACACACATAAGTAAACAAACAAACACAGATAAACACACACACGAACACATACAAGCACACAAAAACACATACACATACGTATATACACACACTTAAATAAACAGTAACCGCTAACATTGTTTTATTGAACTCATATTTTATTTTTTAAAAATGTATTTAGTGTTTCGTTCCAGAAATTAAAAAAAAATATGTATCGCTTCGTCATATCGCTAAAATGTAATGTTAAAATATGTTACATGTGTCGTTTTATTTTGAAATGTACGTCTTTCACTAACCTAAACACACACGTGTATATGTAATATGTCGAGATTAAACGTTTTGATTCTTCGGTGTCTATATTAATGGATGAAAAGTCCCTAAATTTTGACGGGTCGCAGCTAGTATTTCAAACATAACCTGGATGCACTGCTTAAAAGCAGCTTGATTCATATAAATAATTATTAGTACTAATGTTACATTCTCAATAAAACTTTAAATAAATAGTGAAACGAGAATTTGAAATAAAAGAATAACTGTAATTGTTTTGTGATTTCTCGTCAGAAAGTGTTCTACTGCCTTTCTAGCAACCACTTTTCTTCATTCAACCAGCTTGTGTGTTTGTTTGTGCGCCCAACATTATCTGTGCTGTACGTAGCCGCGACGCCGCCATCTTATTTGATAGACGCGACAGCCCACGCATAAAATGAAAAGCACGAGGATGATTGGCACAAGGACAGCCACAGCCACGTTACCAGGGGACGTCCCGCAGTCATTCTCATCCCTGTTGTTGCCGCAGTCGTCATATCCGTTACAGGTAAGACTGTTATCTATGCACATGTTCTCGTGCAGGCAATCGAACTGGCCCCCGTTGCAATCTAAGAAAAAAAATATTTTTAAGTAAAATATGAATTTTTGAAATCGATTCTACAATAAATGTTTCGATGAATATGAGTTGACTTCGATCACAATGAGTTGACTTAGATCAAAATGAGTTGACATATGGCTAATAGGCGTGTTGTTATTAAATCTTTTATTTTAACTTCGCTTCTGTCCGTGGCTGGCTAAATCTTTTGAAGTCTAATTGACCCACATCCCGTCAAACAATCAAGCTGAAACTTCGCACGCAGACTTGCTGCACATTGCGAAACATTTTATTACAATTTTTAGAGGGTATTTAAATTTGTTTTTCTTTCTAAACTTTATGGTATCAAGATCAACAAAGATTTATTTTTAATCCTTAAAATATATCCGTACTTAATCGTGGTCAATTCAATTTTGTCATTTAATGACTGTTAAGTCAGTATTGAAAAGCATCGATGCCTGAAACACAATATTTTATTCAAAGCTCATAATTCGTGAATACTTACGTCCTGTGATATTTTTGTCAAACCATTCAGTGACCAAGAGACTTATATCTGGTGTTATCAGCGAACTGAAGTTTCCTGTCTTGAAGGTGTAGTAACCGACAGACCCCAAATTGAACTGACCTTTCGGTCCATTTGACCTACAGTAACTAATGTTACCTTTTGAAAGAAAACAAAACACACAAAAGTTTGTAAGATCTGTGTGACTAATTGTAAAAAGGCTCTTATCTTTTCAAATCATCCATAATATAATTTAAAAGGAATCAATTACTACTATTGCAGTCTTTCTATACTTCCAGAACCGCCTCTGGTCATAATTTCAAGGTCACATGCCAGGTACATGTGGTCTAAATCCATCGTAGAAATATTTTTCAGTCTTAAAGTTGAAGATGACCGCTAAAACATTTAACAGCAAACCACTGTACACATCAACCGTATGTTATTGGCAGCTGATTACCAAAATGCGTTAGAAGAGGTTGTAAAATAACAATATATATATTTTTAACAATGTTAAATTTAAAATGTATATATTCGCTTACCAAAGAGAAAGGGATCCGATGCGTTTGCCAGCTGTATCGACTCGTAACGACAAACCTGTGGATCGGTGTACAAGGGACGCAAGCGGTACTCGACAACCCTCGCCACGATGCCGTCCCCTCGGGAAGGCAGTAGCTTTAAGCTACACCTGATGTTCGGCAGAACGAGTGGCAGGCGGGAAATTTCAATCAGCTTGTCGCGGCTAACAAGCAGATAGTAATTCAGGCAGTGATCTGTTATGTAAACTGTGAACATGAATAATTTTTAAAAATCGTATTACTATTTAAAGTTTTAGTACTGCGTGCTGTAAAATAATTTATTACTAGCATGTTCTTATTTTTTTTACTTAATGCAGTATGATAAAATACTTCCTTTAATTTTTTTTTCAATTTAATTGTTTTGTGATTTCTCTTAGACTGTATTTTCATACTTTTCAATTTTTGCATATTTTTTCTCTCATTGTCTAGTTTTCTCTTGTGAATTGTTGCTTTTAATTTCGTTTTCTGTAATTCAAGTGCTTTAAAATATAGTGGTACCTTGGGTTACGAACATAGTTCTTTCCATAACTCGTTTCGTAAACGGAAACGTTCGTAACCCGAAACATTAAAATCAATAGAATAGAGACAATCCGTTTCAATATGAAAGAATCGTTCTTTTTTTTAAAAATTAACATCCGGTCTTTTACTTGACTAAACGCTAAGTTTACGCGCACTTCACGTAGTTAGTAAAGAGAAAGAAAACAACTCAATAAATTAAATGTGATAGACAAAAAATAGAATTTAGTCTATGTTTCTTACCAAGAAGACGATCATGAGAAATGTGTCACTTTCTTTGCTATTCTGAAACATTAGCTTTAGGAGCTTCTCTTTGCTGTTTCTTGGCAGCCAAGCTCTTCTCTATCTCTCTCTATGTGTCTCTCTCTCTCTCTCTTTTTCTCTTTCTCTCTCTCTCCCTATTTCTCCCTTCTCTCTCCATCTCTCACTCTCTCTTACTATCTCTCCATTTCTCGCTCTCTCTTTCTCTCTCGCTCTCTCTCTCTCTCTCTCTCTCTCTCTCTTCCTCTTTCTCTCTTGCCTTCGTCCGTAAACTGAGGCACTGTTCGTTTGCCGAGATAAAATGTTGTCGAAGTTGTTGTTCGTAACCCTAACTGTTCGTGACCTGTGGCTTTCGTATCCTGAGCTACCACTGTATCTCATTTTTATTATTTCATTCAAATGGTCAGAACGCGATATGTTCTTTATTAATAAGAACAACAGTTTAGATTCTAACACAAGTACCGTAATACTATATTTAAAAAAGATAATCATCTAAATATATATATATATATATATATATATATATATTGCATCTGGTGTGGCTGCGTCCTTTTCACAACCAGCCCTCTCACTAGTCAACAT